GCCCCACCCTAAGTAGAAAAAATAGATGGTAAATTTTCACTTTGTGGTGAGAGAATTATGCTGAGAGAAACATACTAAGAATGAGAGTGAGCTTGGGATAGAAGTTAGAATGTCTGGAAGAGACTAAGAGAGTACAAATGATAAAGAAAATTGTCAGAAATATTACGGATTGTATTTGGAAATGTCGAAGGAAAAGCAGGAGATGTCAAAAGAGAAGTAAGAGAAAGAAAATGTAGTGAATTGGGGACTAGATGTGCTTATAAGGATTTTTACACTACAGCCTGAAGAATCACATGACTTCCTGCTTTAAGTGTCTTTTCATTTTGTTTTCATATTTTTTTAGAAGGGGATGTTTCCTGTTTAAAGTTTGATATTCATTTCAGCTTTGGTAGAATTTAGAAAACAGAAAAAAAATTCAGAACAGATTTTTTGGACAAGAATGGCTAGCATTGCTTACTATTCTGGTTGAAAGTCACATTTACTTTAAATCATAGAGGCAATATTTCATAGTGGCTAGAGAGCTATCAGGAAAGAACTTGTGTTCAAGTCTCACCACTGGCTGTCTGTGTGATTCTGTACAAATCACTTAATTGAGAAGTCTCTACAACATACCTGACGAAGATATAATGATGATACCTACATGAAAATATCATGGAGACACTGTGAAGTGGTGGAACTAATTTTTTGGAATTTTTAGAATGTTAGAGCTGTCTTTAAGAATCATTTGACCCACCCCCCTCATTTAACTTGTATGGAAGAGACCCAGAGGTGTCAAAGGACTTGCCTAATGTCACATAACAAGGCAGTGATGGAACGGAGACTAGAACTCACATTTACTGCACTGTTCGCTACACTATGTCATTCTTTGAAATAGATACATTATTCCTGTAGCAGTCTCCTAATCTATCACTCTATTGACCCTAAGACTGGCATAGTATAACTTTTTGGTAAACCTATGTTCCTTCCTGATACCTAATAATCTCTGTACTTTCCTTTCTAAATAATCACATATCACCTTTTAATAACATGCTCCCGGATTTTGTAGGGGTTCATGTCATACTCATTGAGAGGCAGATTTAAGAAATTAATAAAATTATATATGGAATTGACTTTAGGTTATTAAAATTCCTTTCTTGAGCTTGTATTCTTTCTTCCCCAAAGGCCAAAATGATTGTAGATATATCTTCTACTAGTTCTCAATTCTGTTATAATTTCTTTTTTGTTCCTCTTGTGATTCTGATTGTAGAACTTTGTTCAAAGGGAGAAAATAGGATGTTATGTATAGAATTTTTTTTTTAAAGTAAGGATGCATTTGCAACAGCAAATGGAAGAGAGTTATCAGTTTTGACTTGTGAATCGGGGATATTAACATTTCCCTCAATCAAATCTGTGGCAGTAACTTGTCAGAAGCTCAAGAATTAATTTTATTTATCTAATCCTTTGAGAGTTAATTCTTATTTTATTTAGTCAAAGTAGATGATTTAGAAGTAAAAGGTTTGGACTTAGGCATTGTTGTTTTTGTTTTGTAAGGATTTGTCAGGTATGATGTGTTTAAAGAGCTCTTGTTTTAATCTAAGGTTTGGTGTTTCATTATAGAGATGCCTAATATTTCTCAGTGGATTCCACAGGCACTTTAACGTAATATACACATACATACATATTTATGTATGTTTGCATCTGAACAATGACTGAACATAGCAATCTTTTTTAGATGGTACTACAAGACTACAAGGTTATCTTAATTATTTTAATTTGTTATGGCCAGAAGGTATTTGCATGGTTTTGAAAACAATTAATGAAGGCCAAAAAGGTTTGCAAAATGTCTATCATAAAAATCTCAATTGTACTATTTTACTACAACTTCTCATTCAATTTCCATTGTAGATGGTATGTCATTTCATGATTTCAATCTTTTAAGTAAGCTGAGATGGTCTTATGCTCTTAGAAAATGGATAGATACTAATTGAGCTCATTTACTGGATCTTAAGAGAATAATAGGTAGCATTTATGTAGTGCCTTAAGGTTTGCAAAGCTCTTTACATGTGTTATTTTATGTGATCCTCACAGCATCCCTGAGAGAAACATCTACAGGCATCTGACATCTGCTCTTATATTTTTTAAATAGACCATTACATCTGAAAGACTCTTTTTAGTATGGTTATGATAATTCTCTTATTTATAGAATATTTTTCACACAGAATAGGCAAGAAAAATCTTATAAATGTGAATGTGTGAAATTGTGTAATGTTTTTCACTGTGAAGTTTTTTTTAAATATATTTTGTTCAAATGTTTACTGACATCAGAAATGGAAATATTTGGAGCTGAACAGACTATATAAAAACTAGTAAGAAAATGCACCAAGAAATGTCAGGGTTTTTTTTCCTGATTTCAAAAGCTTTATTTTTCTCCTCCATGTATGTGAATTGTCAAGGTGGCATTTTAAAAAGATAGAATGAAACCTCACTAATTCAGATTAATTGGTAAGGCCAGCTTGAGTTATAGAGTTCGAGGAAGTATAGTTTTATTATCTTTAGTTATATGTAGTAATTGTAACGAGTTGACCAAATTACAGCTTGCCAAATTCTGTGGAGAAATGGATATATAATAATGTTTTGTAATTAGGTAATTAAATGTTATAGGTAAATGAACACTTTTAAGTGTTTGAAGGGGTGGGGAATCCTCTTAGCAAGTTTTAAAACCTCCCAAAAATCTTGTTTCTACTCTGTTTGTTTAGTCAACCCTTTTTTGGTCATTAGTCTGAAAGTAAACTTCAGCTATACAATACCACAAATTCTAATTTGGAATCCAAATTAATGTGCATTTTGCTGTGGTTGTATCACTTGCTTGTTACTGAATCAGATGGAATAGAGGAAATTATTATGTAACTAACTGGAAGAGAGAGCTGGTCTTTATTCCAAAGGTTTCTTCCTCATTTTGGCTTTAGCCACTTTCATGACACTGTTACTTAACATGTGATACATTATACCTTCTAGAATAATATGGTTTGCACATAATAAAATAGTATGCAAAATGTTATCACTTTATATATAAACCTCAGCATGTTTAAAATTAGCAGATGCTAGCTTTGATTAAACCATAATTTTTTTAAAGGCATGAGCAGATGATTTATGAGTATTACTTTAAAAAATAGAAATTATATTACTATTTTAGGATTATATTTTAAAAGTTATGAATTTGGTAAAAACCAAATTCGCAGATCTATATATAATCTAACCAAGGCGGCCTTAAATCCCTAGTCATGGGGCGATAGGCATCAAAGTTCCTGTTTAATATGTTATCAGGGAGAGCATGTGGTATGCAGTTTGTTTGACATTTCTGATAGTACCTCCAGTGCCAGAACCCACCCCAAACAGTTTTGAAGCTTGTAATCTTGTGACCTTAATAATGGTAAAGCAAGGCATACGCTCCCTAAAGAGTGTTGAATGGATAATTGAAGAAGGGATGGGGGGAAAAGTCCCCACTCTTTCCCAGCTTGGTGCTGCAGAATTGTATTTTATCTGCTTTTTAAAAAAAAATTTATAGAATACTCTATAAATATAAGCTATTATTAGTGTTGTTCTTATTATTTGAGGCTATTTTGCCCCCAAAGCATAACCCCTCATCCCACTGGAAAAAAGAAAAGAAAAATGATGAACAGATGATGTAAAAATTATTAAGAAAATGTACCAAGAAATGCCAGGCTTTTTTTTTTATTTTAAAAGCTTTATTTTTCTCCTCCATGTATGTGAATTGTCACGGTGGTGTTTTAAAAAGGTAGAATGAACCTCACTAAATCAAACTAATTGGTAGGGCCAGCCTGAGTTACAGAGTTCGAGGAAGTATGAATGGATAATATGACTGTGTGTGTGTGTGAGTGTGTGTGTGTGTATGTGTGTGAGAGAGAGAGAGTATATGTGTGTGATATATATATATATATATACACACACACATGTATATCTAAAACATGTATGTATATATGTGATATATAAAATAGATATATATTACACACACACACACACGCACACACATGATAGACAAATAGAGTTGGAGCCCTTTACAAATATTCCAAACTATAGTATATGGATTCTAGACATTTTTGAACACACTGATCCTGAGCAGGTCAGATAAGGTTAAACAAATAGGTGGATAGAATTCCTTTGGTGTAAAGGGCCGCACTTAATGGAGTCATTAGTAGCTGTTTTGTCCACAAGTTCCCCTCCTGCTGGGGAAAGGAGCCAAGTCTAACCAGATGTATCCATTATTGTTGTTGTTGTCATCATTGTTGTTAAGTTGCATATTGACCAATATATAGAGAGCAATATTACTGCTCTTCTTTCTTACTTGGGCTAAGTATGGGGAAACTATCTACGTGTTAGTTGTTGGTGTGTTTCTTACTTATTTTAAAAATGCCCAGTGACCTCTGTTAGTTCAAACATATACAAGAAAATTATTGTAGATAGCAAAACCACAGGAAAAATGCTTCCTTTATAATTTGGACTGTGATATTTGCTGAATGAAGATGTTACTATATGCAAGACTAAAAACCAATAGAATATACAAGACACATTTTTATCAAGAATTCTGAATCTCTGAAATTTTTTAGTGTTTTTGTTGTTGTTCAGTCATTTCAGTCCCATTTAACTCACTGGGATTCCATTTGGGGTTTTCTTGACAAAGATACTGGAGTGGTTTGCCATTTTCTTCTCCAGCTCATTTTTACAGATGAGGAACTAAGGTAGACAGGGTTAAGTGACTTGCCCAAAGTCACACAGCTAGTAAGTGTTTGAGGCCAGATTTCAACTCAGGAGAATGAGTCTTCCTGACTCAAGGCCCAGCACTCTATCTACTACATCACCCACTAATTATTATACTGTGTAAGAAAAGTTAATAAAATTTATGATCTATTGAAAAAATGAAAACACAAAGACTAAATCATATATTTCTATCTATCTATCTATACATCCATCCATTCATCCATCTGTCTGTTGCTTAATTGTAGGGAACCATAAAGTTCAACCGTGGACAGCAGTTACAAACCAAGCCTTAGATGTCGCATGGAGAACAGTGAAGGGACCAGTGATGTTGGGTATATCATTTCTTGCTGCTGCCCTCTGCCACTTCAGAAGCCTATATTTATATTTAGGACATCGGTTAAAATGGTATGTTCTTTTGCCATTTTCTATATTTTAAAAAAAGCCTCTTTTTGAAACAGATACTTTTTTATAAATCATCATTTGACCCTACTGTATTTTTACCATTTCAGGTGGAGCGGATACCTGCAGAGAAAATTCAAAAGTAAATACTCTCTTTACAGTCTCTATTGTTCCTGTCGTGGGAGGGAGTGGAGGGAGAAATTGAAGGAAGAAGAAAAGGGAAATTAACAACTTTTCATGTTCAATTTGCCTAGAAAACCTCAGTGTGGAAGCAGAAGTTGATCTCCTTGGTTATTGTGCAAGAGAATGGAAAGGAGAAACAAGCCGTGCCAAGCTGATGAGGAAGGTATCATTATTTTTAAAAGCAGGGAAGAAACAAATTCCATCCAACTTTATTTAATGTCAGGGAGCCCAATTAATTCCAAATACCAAAGTACAAGTAAATGCTATTTTGTTCGTTAAAACTCCTTGAGTCTTACATTGTCAATTCAAAACTGACATACTCTACTGCAGATACTATTTAGTGTAGTTGCTGTTAAGAAGAACCCCTTTAAATTAGGTTTCATAATTCAGGAAATTTCAGTGTTACAGATGTTTGCTAAATTTACTGTAATTCAGTGGACATTTATGAAATACCAACTAGGTGCTGAGGACACAGAAACAAAACAAAACAGTCCATGCCCTCTAGGAGATATTCTGGGGGTGGGGGGTGGAGAGCAGGTGTAATACACATATAAGCAGAAAAGTACATACAAAGTAATTTCAGAAAAGAGAAAGCATTGGAAATGATCAAGAAAAACCTCATTTAGGTAGAAACATCCAAGTTGTACTTGGAAGAAAACTAGGGATTTTATAAGATGGAGATGAAGAGGAAGTGCATCCCAGGCCTAGCAACTCTCTGGGCAAAGTTGGAAAGTCAGGAGACGGAATGTTGTGATACAGAGAGAGATTAATATTAAATATTTACTGAGTAACTATTATAACCCCCTTCCTTGCTCCAGTAGACTGTAAGGCTGTTGCAGAGAGATTTTATCATTTTTATCTTTTTATCTTCAACTTCTAGTATATGCACCTAATAGATGCTGAACAAATGCTATTTGTATTGAATCTGATTAAATTTCTGACCCTTTGAACTGGGCCCCTTTCAGTTTTTTGTAGATGCTAAGGAATGTGTGTATAATCCTTAACACAAAGTCATTGTATACAAAGAATCTTAGCTGTTGGGTTTTTGTAAATGGAGCAAATTTCTTAAAATTTCTAAAACTAAAATGAGAAAAAAAGCTTTTTGTCTTCACTTTTAGAAAGTAAATCCTTTTAGTCTCTGACCTATTTGAAATATATAATGTGTAGTGACTATAGACCTTTGGTAAGGGAAATTGAGGTAATGGGGAATAAAGGTTCAAAGTAGTTACAATGGTGGCATATCACAGAACAGATTTTTCAGTAGATATAAGAGAATGAAGCACTGGGGTATTTTGGCTGTAATCGGTCCTGCTGATCAACTAAGCCATTGAAAATATATGTTTTGTTTTCAAAGTTTGCATAATTATTAACCAAAAATGATGCTTTTCCTTCAGGTAGGCAAAGCAGTTCATTGTAGCATTGGCATCTGTAGGGGTCTCCTCACCTCATGATCTATCTGGCAGTCATGCTAAACATTTTAGCAAGATTAGCTCGATGCTGTCCACAGCCCAGTAACATGCAGAGTGTATGTAGTCCTTTTGTAGTGGGTGGGCATTCGTTGATCAGGGCTGTAAGGATGCTCTGAAGAGATTTTACATTCTGCTTTATACCTTTTCTTAACATTTCATTTTCTACCTCTCAAACTAATTTTCATTATAGTTGTTTTAAATTTTCTTTCTCATCACCAGGAATGATATCCCTCTGTGCATTGGGTCAAATCACTTGCATGTAACATTGGTATTTACGGCACTGTTTTCTGATTTTGTCTAAACTTTTCCCTGATCACTCTTTTTGTTTTTAACATATAGGCAACTGTATCTTGGTGGTCATTAAATATTTACTAAAAGTTCTCCGTATTATTTATAGACTGTACTTCATGGTCCCTGCTGTCTAGGTACTTGCTTTTTAGTATTGCATGATATGGAATCTGTGCAAATGGGCCTGGAGTCAAGAAGACTCACCTTCCTGAATTCAAATCTGGCCTCAGATACTAGCTGTGTGACCCTGGGCAAGTCACTTAACTATGTTTCCCTCACTTTGCTCATCAGTAAAATGAGCTGAAGAAGGAAATGGCAAACCACTCTAGTATCTTTGCCAAGAAAACTCCAAATGGGGTCGCAAAGAGTCAGACACGACTGAAAACAACTGAACAACAACAACAAAAATAATATCCTTTCACACTGAAATATGAAACAATACAAATGTGAAACAGTAACTTTTTAAAAGTTTTTCCATTTATATTTGGAGCTTCACAGTTAAATTTTATTTTATTTCCTTTCTTTAGACTCTTCCCCTTCAGAATTACAAAAATACATATTTTTTCCCCTTTGCTCTAATAGGCTTATGAGGAACTCTTTTGGCGTCATCGTGTTAAATGTATCCGGCAAGTCAAAGGAGATAACTATGATGCATTAAGATCAGTCCTTTTTCAGATACTCAGCCAGGGCCTCTCTCTTCCATCCTGGATGAAAGAAAAAGACATCATAAAGGTAGGATGTCATGTTTTAAGCCAGAAAATACTTCCAGTATAATCCTATGTGAAATGAAATACTGGAGCACAAACACCTTCATTTCAACTACCCACGTTTTGTTTTTTTTTTAATGGTCGGAGTCTGAAAGGAACCCTGAGAGGTGTCACTGGGCTCTTATGTAAAAGTGTATTCAAGCTATTCCAGAAAGATCTTCTTTAGGCTCTTCCTCAAAATTCACAATAAGGTAGTTGATTCCCTTTATATAGGATTCCCTTTATATATGTGTGTGTGTGTGTATATATATATATTCTATTTCTCACAAGTCCTTACAGTGAGAAAATTTTTCTTAAGGCATGATCTAAATTCTTCTTCATGAAAATCAGTTTTATTTATTTTGCTGAACTAAAGCTAAGATATTTAAGGACAGAGAGGATCTGAGGAGAGTCACAGTGTATTATAAACATAATATCTTGTCTTTAAAATTACTCTGTTTTAAAATTGCTTAGTTAAGATGAGTCATTCCCAAAAACACATGCCTTTTGTTAAAGATATTTTAATGAAATAGATTGGATCTGTTGACTGTACATTTTTGTTTGTTGTATTTGAACTGTAAGAATTTGTAAATTTTTAAAATAATAATATGCCTTGTACAGAACTATAAAAATTTTTTTAATAATGTTCTACTTACATCCTTGGGTGATTGCCAGTTATTTAATTTGGGGGGGGAGGGCACAGTCATATCTGTTTTGCATATGTTGTATCTCTTATTTGTGACAAAATGCTAATTATTTCATAACATTTATACTTTTTTCCCTCCAAGCTTCCTGAAAAGCTACTCTTTTCGCAAGGTTGTAATTGGATTCAACAATACAGCTTTGGCCCTGAGAAATATACAGGCCCAAATGTGTTTGGGAAATTACGTAAATGTGTTGAATTATTAAAGAGCCAGGTAAGTACTTGGAAACAGACTAGAAAGATGAAAATACATTCAGAAGTAGTAATCAGTCTTCCTTCTGTCATCACTTTCGTTGTCTTGGTTCCTGATCTCAAGTATGTTAGTTTGTGTTGCATTTAAAGGTGTAGAGAAGAAAATGTTTCCTCCATCCATTGTTATCTTCCTGTCTGGGTTCACATCTCTTCCTCCTACCAAGTGGTGAATACCTGCAAGGTTTTTCTGCTTCCACAAAAGAAAGTGAACAGTTCTCTTCCCTTCTGTGTAGACAAGAGAGCAACCTTCTGGTACTATTCCTGTATTTCCTCCCTTCCTTTCAGGTAGCTGAGAGAGACCAACCCAAAGAGTCAGAGCTTTTTCCCTTCTGGGAGGTCTTGAGAGTATAATGCAGCTGATCCTTATTTTGGCTAGTTCTGCTCCAATATGTAGGTGAAAAAAAATCTGCCTCACAGCCTTTTTTTCCTGTGCATGTGTGGGTGTATGTATGTATCTGTCTCTTGAGAGTCTCTGTCTCTTTCTCTACCTCTGTCAGTCTCTTTACTTAGTCAGACATAGTTTACCAGTCTTGTTTATGGTGCCCTCCTTCCCCCTCTCCTTGCCCCTGTCTGTCTTGTCTCTTTCTCCCTCTCCCTCTTCTCCCCTCCTTACCTCTCCCTCTCCTTCAGCTTAACACAGATTGCAAATAAATGTTTGTGGAGTCCATAGTGATCTTCTTTCTTCCGGATTACCATATGTCTCATAATTGTAGGATTATTATCAAGGATTTCATTTTTTGTTATATGGAAGTTATTTTTGAGAGATTTGTGTGTTTGTTATTTAATAATAAGCCCCTAATTGTACGTATGCTTGATAGTTCAACTCATACTAGATTTGTATGTTCTCTACCGACTTGATCATTTCCTTTTATGATGTATGTTCTGAGAGTTCCTGTTAAGGTTCTAATGGTGAGGATGAAAGTAACAGACTAGGAATAATTTCAGGTTGTTTGACCTTAGGAGGCTTTGTCACTCTTTTGTGTTGTAATAAGCCGTGCCTGACTCAGGCTGATCTCCTGGTAGTTTAGGTCCAAAATTGGAATGAAATGAGACATTCATAACATATTTAATAGTAAACAAAAGGAGACTTATTTAGCTATGGCAGGGGAATGATGCTCAGGGCAAGGAAGAGATGTTCATCCAGGATAAAGCATAGATTGAGTTTTTCACAGCATCCCAGTCTTGTTCAGGCTGCTGGTCTATGGTCTGAAGCCTCAGAGAGGGACACTAACTCCTTATATCCTGGCTATTTCATAACCAGGTGATTAGGAAGCTACAGCAGTACCCTAAACCTTTATACCCTGAACAAATCAAATCTCTGGGTCAGTTTCAATAGCTTTTAAAGAAAAAGCTTAACTTACACGGAGGGGGGCGGTATAATTAACTGTGCCCCAGATTGGGAACTATTGTCTGGCAAAGGACATTGCTTTTCTAAAACCTCAATTAGCTTGACATTGGGACAATCCCAGATAATATAGGATGTATCAGAATTCATAGGGGAATAACCTTATAAATTGTGGTGAGATGGGCTGATTCTATTCCCATTAGTCATAGTCAAGGTTATAAGTTAGATAAAGTTTATTAGCCTCCCACTCTACCCTCCTACTCCTCCTTTACAGCCACGTAATTTGCCTATCATATTTCTTTCTCCTTTATTGAATCATAGACTTTAGAGTTGGATGGAAACATAGAAATTACCTATTCCTACCCCCTCATTTTAAAGAGGAAGCATTAGGACCTCATGTGTCAGCTAGAGAATCTGTCTAAGTAATTAGTGCTAGTGTGCATTTTAACTGTGACTTTTAGGAAATTGTGTTCCCACAACTTTGGTCTAGCTCATTAGTGATAACAATAGAAACTTCAAGCCAGGTACAAGTGGAAAGAGAGGACTGGGCTCCAAGGTAGGCTGGTGGGGGACCTGGAGGAAGGGAATATTTCTTACCAAATGGGCCTTTGGTTCTCTCAAATCTCACTTCCCAGGCAACTGTCAACCGTCCTTTTCACTAGGACCTATGCTGCTCATAGTCCACTTGCCCCTAGTAGCATCCAACTCTGGACAGTTGACACAATTAAATTTATGTGGCAACATTCAGTGATTTGAGAACATGAGATTTGATTTGAGAATCATGAGAACATGATTTCACTGAGAATTTCCCCTGCATTTGAATGATGGTGGAAAGTATTAGACCCCTAGAATCTTAACATCCTTTACATAGCAGTGCTCAACGTTTTGTAAACTGAGTTGTTTTATGAACTAAGCTTGAGTGATTTGGGGACGCTGACTTACCCTGTACACTCCTTAAGGTCAGAGTATGTTCAGCTTGTTGATTACATTGCTTGGCACAGTACCATAATATGTAGTTAGATGATATTTAAGGGCCGTTGATGGTTTTCCAGTCTTTCTTGTAATTTTTGTAACCCTTCTCAAGCTTATTTTAAAATTTCTTTTTTAGTGGACAGAGTTTAGTGGTATTAAGGACCAGCACAAGAGAGGAAACATGTGTAACTGCCTTTTTTCTGATGAGAGCCTGGAGCACAAGCTGTATGAAGCTTTAAAATTCATCATGTTATATCAAGTCATCGAAGTGTATGAACAAGTGAAGAGTGAAAAGGCCATTCCCAGTCTTTATCGCCTCCTGTTTTCCAGAGAAACATCTTCAGATCCTTTAAGTTTTATGATGAATCACCTGAATTTTATAGGTGATACATGTGGATTGCAACAGGTAAATGTCAAAAAACGAGTGTCAGAGGAAGGCCCTGGCAATACTCAAGGGGATGATGGGCAGCATGTGGTTCAATTCAATTCAACAAATATTTATTTTTAAATCTCTTTTTTTCAATTAACATGCATTTATTTTTTTCTCTTTTGCATTTCTGTCCACCCATATAAAAAGAAAGAAAACATAATTTGTGACAAATATGCCTAGTCAAGCAAAACAAACTTCCACATTGGCCATGTCCAAAAATATTTAGCTATTGCTATGTGTAAGGCTCTGTTAAAGATCTATATGATTTTAAGGATTTCATAATAAAAGAAAAAAAGATACTATCTCTCACTATCCCGTGACAGTTAAATGTTTCCTCAGATCTATAACCATGGGGTACCTCATCTATGATCCTTCACAATGGAGTTTCTAAAAAATCTCTAATGGTTCTTGTCAAATGAAATATTATATCCCCATAACAGAGGCTGACCAGAAGTTAATTGTTTCCTTTGCAATACTCAAAATAAGCTTGATTTTATTGTGTGCTTTGTGTTGTTATTTATTTTTAAATATTAAAATTTTATTGCTTCCCTCTTCCCCCTCACTCCTCTTTCGCTTTTTTTTTCTCTAGGAAGTCTAGAAAAATTTTTCCTATATAAATTGTTTGTAAGTTGACCAAAAAACTAATTGGAAGACAATTCAGCTCTTGTGTACATCTTCTGCATTTCGTATTTATCCTTATTCCATACACTCCCCTAAAAAATTGTCATCTCTTCATGAGGTATAGAGTTATTCTTATAATTTTCACTCTTGATTTAAAACAAATTCTGGGTACTTGCTCCTAATTCTTGGCCTATTCATAGTCTTATATAGGGGACTATAAACAGATTACTTCATTAAAATGTTTTCCTTCACTGGTGGAAGAGCTGAAATTTGTTAATATAGTACATTTGTGACCTTTCTCTAATTTTCCTCCCAGATTGACATGTTGATTCTTGGACACTCTCTTGAAGTCAGAATAAAAGTGTTTAGACTGTCTAAGTTTAATACCAGAGACTTTCAAGTATACTATCCAGAGGAACGCCACAGGGAATGGCCTGAGATCTGCCTTCTGACTGAAAATGACCGCCATTACCATATTCCTGTTTTTCAAGTGTGAGATAGAATTGGTACTATTGCCTACAATAGCAATGAATATGCTTAAAATAAAGTATTGCATGAAAACCAAAGCTTTTTATCTGGCTCCTGAAGGAACTGAACCTTTTTTTCCCTTCTGGACTTATGCTGTGATGGAATAAGACCTATGTTGTTCTTTTGGGTGTGTGGTTTCTTCAAAAGACACCGAGAACTAGGATTTATCAGTTTGTTTGTTACCTAGTTCACACGGGATTTGGTTGTTCAAGATACCTTTGAATGTCTCAGAATGTTGACAAAAGTGAGCCTGTAGTTGACTTAGAAAAACTGACCTTTTAAAAGTCTGTAACCTGAAAATAGTGGGACATTGTTAACCCTAACCTCAGTAAAAGAAAAGTCCTACTTGGGAATCTTTCCATTTGCTGATTATGAGTTGATATGGCCTTAGCCATATCAACATTATCATCTTCATCCATCAAGAATCTCCATGGTACTTTGGTTTTCTAGAACCATTTGCTTGACTCTTTAAAAAAAAAAAGAGCATGCAAGTGGGGAAACTACTTTTATGCTATATTGTATGAATTGTTTTATATTATTTTCAACTTTTGTGGCTGGATCTAATTGGCTTAACATTATGTGTGCAAAAATGAATGTTCTTATTAAATATTCCATAGTTTAAAACAAACAGATACAAATACTGTACTGTTTCCGAAATGTCAACCTATTATGCATCATATGCATTTTTAATATGGAATTACATGCTCTGATGTTTCTCTTTGTATCTAATGCTATTTTGAATGACAGCATTTTTCTCTGTCATCTATATCAAATGTCATTACTGTTATACTCAAAGAAATGTAAATTTGTAAGTTAGAGCTTCTACCAAATATTTGCTACTTCAAAGTCATCCACTTAAGGGGAAGGCATGAGGACTCAATATAGTTATTCCTCCTTAAATATAGTAAGGAATAGTTAACTATGAAATGTAAGGAAAGGGGCATGTTAGCAAGTGTTATGGTCCATGGAAATCATACCCATAGTTAAAATAATCTTAATATAATATTTTCATAAGCTAAGACTCATGAGAGAAATCTCATAGGTTATTGTGTACAATTGTAGTTCATTATTTCCTAGCTTAGCAATAGAAAGTTTGAGTCAAAAGGATTTGTATTCCTTATATTCCATATAATCCAGTTCAACATATGGAATCTGTGGGTTTGGATTCTATGTAATATTAACTTTGTGATCTCTAAGGCTCCCTATATCCCTAAAATTCTGTGATTCTAACTAGTAACTTTTAAAATGCTTCTTGTATGAAAATAGCAGTTTTGAAGTGTGTACTGGTGTGATGTAACTGGCTGACTTTCTGTAACAAACTCATGTTTTTTTTACCTTTGGATACTGGCTGAGACAGTGAGTCATTGGCTGTTCTCTGGTATGTCAATTTGGCAACACTGCTAATTGCTACAAAGAAACGGCAGCACATTCTGTTGAGGTTTTTAAACCAGGAATTCAGAATTTTTAAGTTACTCGTTGGTTTGGACAGTCCTCACTTTCTTCGATTATTTCAGCACCTACATACTACTAAAAAGACAAAAACCTTATCACAGGGATCAGTATCTCTCATTCTGAAAGTGGTACCCAAAATGATTTTTACTGGTATAACATTAATGAATTGCTTCTGGGCCCACAGGGGACTATGTTTTTTCTCTCTTTCTAAGGAGCCCATCTGCTGTGAGTCCAAACATAAGTACTGGACTGTATGCAGTCCTGCGGGAACCTGGCTTCCAGTTTTAAGGGCATTATATTCCCTTTTTTTCTGGGTATTTAACCCCCCACCATGGTGCCCTAGGGATAAATTGTAGAAAGCTTAAGTTTAGGCTCTGTCTAGGATTTTGCCAAAAGGAGGAATTTAAAAGGTAGTCAGTGTATAATATGAATCAGATATGGAACAGATATTTATTTTCTACACAACAATATTATCGTCTACTGGGAGGGTGATATTTAAAGTTTATCAGAACATAAAGCAGTTTTTAAGATTGATGATTAACCATTTTACATTTCACCTCACCTCTGCAGTGTACAAAAATTTCTCCAGTACAGCCTTGGGTCAATATTCTTGTTTGTGATCATTTTCTCTAATACCGAAGTTGTTCCTGACATCAACCGTCTATTCTCTCTGGACCTTATGAATTCATGAGTTCACCTTCAAACCTGATTATGTCCACCTCAGTGCTGATATTCTACCATCTACTCGGGAAAGGAAACACAAATTGGAAAAGGAAAAAAGGACTGGTATAAATTTTCTTATTTGAGACCATGTTTCACATAGGAGTGGTGAGGGGTTAGAGGGAAACAGCACAACTTATTCTCATCACCCCATCACCGAGAATCTAGAGATAAAACCCACTGCTTGCTGTATGGGAGCCTTGATGCAAAACATATTGAACTGAAAGTTGTCTCTTGTTTTTAACTGCCTCAGCACTCAGTCCCCCTGCCATGGTCATGGGGTAGGAAGAGGATCAAGGGACCACTAAGGGTTCATTACATCATAGCAAAACGCCACATGGCTGGAAGAAGGCCCATAAACCTCCAGCTGGTTGATTAGAACCAGGAAGGGCAACTCTGAGCATACTCTATGGAGTGGCTCCCAGAATTGTAGAGTACGTGGCAAAACTGAAACTAAACTCCACCATCTCTTATTTTCTTCCCTCTGTACCTATCCCCTTCCCTGGATACCCAGAATATCAAGAGTAAAAATCCTAGAGGAACATTTTCCTCTGCCAATAAAATCAGTCACCTAGACTCCCTAACTGGGCACCATTAACTGTCACTCTCTTTTCTGCTTTAACCAACTTACAATTTTAACCACTACTCCTTTTACCATTCATTCACTAGGGAGAACCACTGTGGATGCTTCACATCTTCCCAAACCCAGCCCTGGAGGCAAAGAAGGCTTATTTGGTGCCTTCCATTCTCTGGAAAGGTTGTAGATCCCTGCTCTATTAAGAAACATTTTCCCCTTTGGTATTATAATGTGATATTATTGTCAAACCCTCAGAATCCACATAATACCGGTTACATGTGGCAAATCAGCTTGAAACTTGGGACTGGAAACTTGAAAGTCAAATGAGAGGATGAGTGGTGTGTAGATGACAGAATGCTACACTCAGTGTTATGAGGACAGGATTCTAATCCCATCTCAAATTTACCCAGGTAAGCCTGGGCACGTCACTTAGCCTCTCTTGGCCTCAGTTTCCTCATCTGTAAAATGTAAGGATTGGACTTGATGCCTTCTAAGATCCCTTCCATCTCTAAGTCTTTGATCCTAATATTTCTGTTCATTCTTAGGTTTGGAGAGAAAAGAATCTCAAGATAGAATTGTGGGGAGAGAGGGGGAGGGAAAAGCATCCAAAGATTTGGAAAGTATGAAACATCAGGTATTAACCAAATGACTTTTTATTTAGTTGAATATCTTTGGGAAAGCCAAAACATCAAAAATTAATGTCTTGCCTTTGATCTCTAATTTATAAACCCAATTAACTTGATTTAGTTAACTGGGCATGGTTTGTTAACTCTGTTGCCACTGAATATGAATTAGGGGGAAATGTCAGCTTCCTGTATGATGGCAATATCTGAATGTCTTTCACATTTGTTTTAAGACTATGTAAAATTTTATACATAAAATATAGAAATCTCTTTCATCTTTGATGCATATTCTTACACATTGTGAGAATTTTTGTGAATATGTATTCAAAAGATTCTTTCCATAGTGGAACATGTTTAATTGCCTAACTAATGCCTAGATTAATTTTATCATCCACATTCTATTAATGAAAAACTCTTATTAATAAGAACACAGCTGCCTTTGGGCTAAAAGAGGCAATATGGAGATACCCAGTATAGTAAAGAGTTAGATGAAAAAATGACTGGACAAATAACATGGAGAGATAACATGTCATTGTTGATATAGTATGGAACTTAGAGTTGGAAAAGCATGGGTTCACATCCGACTTCTGATTCTGATCAACAGTGTGACCGTGGGCAGGTAAGTCACTTAACCTTTTAGCTTCAGTTTCCTCATCTGTGAAATGGGGATAATAATGCTTTTACCTAGCTTACAGAAGTTGTGAAGTTCAAATGAGATAATGCCTGTAAAATACTTAGAAAACTTTAAAGTACTATAATAAATGCCAGTTATTATTAATAACATCCTACTTCAGTTCCAAAGTCCAGCCAAGGTGTCCTCCTCTGCAATCTGTACATTCACTTGGCTAGTTCAGAGTAAGTCTGTGGTATTCTTGAACCAAATCAGATCCCGAGGTACATGTATCCTGGATAGCGTCAGATCCCTGTGCTTGATTTCTAGGTGCTTTTATGGAGTAGATGCAGGATTCTGCATCCTATCCTAAGCCAGACCTTTTACCTTTCTACTCTATAGCTAGAGTTGATCTCTACGATTGAAAGTTGAATGAAGGTCAGGAAAGAATAAAAGCCACAGTCTCTTGGGTTCTGTCCTTGTCAGCTTCTCCATCTCACTTTCGAATAAATTGGCTCATTTATTCAAAGACTGTTGTTTTGCTCTTTAACCCTAGAACCTAGTATATTTTAAAGTCTTTGACACATTTCAATTTGACTGAGGCAACACCCATTCAGAGATTAAGGGGCTAGGTAAGAAATCAGGTAGAGAATGGCCTCTTTTACCTAGTCAAAAAAAAAATCATTCTGGGAGGGGAAGACAATTAGGGTTTCTGGCCAAAACAGAAACAATTGCTGTTTACATCACTCTGAGCCAATTGGGGCCCAAACAATAATAGCTTAAAAAGGCCAAGGTTTCCCATTGCATCCAGAGCCATCTCTAGTCATCCTGATCTATCTTGCCACAGGACCCAAATGGCTCCAGAGGAGAAACTGAGGTTGGTGTCTTTGCACATCACTCCTTCACTTACTCAATTCACTTGTAAGTCATGGCATCATCTTCCTGATGCCATTCTCTTTGAGAACAAAGGACAAACAACAACAAGAAGTATATTTTAAAAGAAATTTGTGTTTCCTGGTACTAAGTTGAAGTGATATACTTGCATAGGGGTACTTTTGTTTTTCTTATATGAGGCTGCTAAGTAATGCAATGGATAGAGCCCTGGACCTGGAATCAGGAAAACCTGAGTTCCAATACAGCCTCAGACAGTTAGTAATTAGCTGTGTGACCCTGGGCAAGTCCCTTAACAACTCTGTCTTCCTCATTTTCCTCTATAAAATGAAGATAATAACAATATCTATCTCACAAAGTTGTTGTGAGGATCAAATGAGATAACATTTGTAAGGCACTTGGCACATAGTGATTAATAAATTCTTGTTCCTCCCCCCCTTCCCCTTCCTACATCTAAGTGCCAAAATCAGGACTAAAATCCAGATTTCATGTGACTCCAAGTACCACATTATTTCTACTGTACCAGGCTGGTATCTTCCTAGGCTAACATCTTTATCATTCTATCACCTACCTTTCCTCCCTCAACTCCTTTCTTTAGTTTCCAGTTACCACCTATCAGCATGCATACCTTATGTAGACATTTAAAAAATTTTTTTTGTTAACCATTTTTTTATTTTTCAAAATTCACTTTCACAAGATTTTGAGTTCCAAATTCTCTCCCCATCTCGTCCCTCCCCCCCCACACCAAGATGGCATGCATTCTGAGTACTCCTTCCCCTAATCTGCCCTCCCTACTATCTCTCCCCCCTCTTCTCTTATCCCCTTTCCTTTCAATTTTCCTGTAGGGCAAGAGAGATTTCTATACCCCATTTCCTGTATATCTTATTTCCCAGTTGCTTGTGAAAAACAATTTTTTTAACATGTGTTTTTAAAACTTTGGGTTCCAAATTCTCTCCCTTCCTAGTCCATCCTCCTTGAGAAGGCAAGCAACTTGATCCAGGTTATACATCTGTAGTTATGCAAAACACTTCCATAGTAATCATGTTGTGAAAAACTAAGTCCTATCCCCTCTAGTCCCCCATTTATTCTATTCTCTCTTTTGACCCTGTCCCACCTTAAAGTGTTTGCTTCTGATTACCCCTTCCCCCCAATATGTAGACATTTTTGTTTGTTTATTTTTGTTTTTCAGTAACTCTGGATAGGAGAACATCCCTGCTGTGGGATGCTAGATTTACAGCATGGACCTGAAGAGTCTGAGTCCAACCCCTCTCCCTCACCTTACAAATAAGGAAATAGGTATTCAGAGGTTAAGTAATTTGCTACAGTTGCACAGCTGGTAAGTGTCTGAATCAGGATTTGAACAGAGGTCTCCTTGAGTCCAAGCCCAATGCTCTATCCACTGTGCCACTTGATAAATGTCTCTTTGAGACACAGTTTTATCATTTGTTAATTTACATAACTACAGTTTTCATATGACAAATTATCCTGGAACCAAGACTTGTAACTTGGTCACATGTATTTGAGCAAATATTTTGTGTTTCTTACAGCATTCAGTGTTTCTTGTAGCATAAAAAGTCTTGGAATGTCTAACCAAGGCTATTCCCTTAATTTTTTTAAGTATCTGCTATAAATAAACACCCATCCTAATCTTTATAGCCAAAGTTCTACAAAATCCTTTAAAGTACAGAAAATCCTTTATTTACAACAGTGATGTGTTCTTGGGAAGCATGTTATAATTTGAAACTTAGAAATATTTTTCCATGGAAATAAAAAGTATTTATACCTTTCAACAGAGAATGTGTTCAGTGACGTACTATTTGTTCATAATTTACAGAAACTTTTTTGTAATTACATTACCAAAAAAATTTGTAATTTTAATAATTACATTTTGGTTTCATACTCCTTTGTGCTTAAGGATATCCCTTATTAGCTTGTGGACCAGAACTCCAGGTTTACAAGAATTGGGTTCAGTCTTGGAACCATCTCTCAAAAGTCTCTTTGGCTCATGCCCTTGGGACTATCAGCACATATAAACATGGAACTTTGAAAAAATACTTCACTTAACAAGTTTAGAAAGATATATGATGGAAGGTAGTAGATAGATATTAAGTAGTAATGTTAGACTGTTTTAGGGTACCATTTTTAAGTTGAAAAAGTCCTATATAATTTTTATTAAAGCAAGTATGTCAATGAAAATTTCTGAACAAATGCAGTTTATTGGAGCAGTCCTTGTCTGTAGGCTTCTCAAGTATTCCCAGAGAGGTACTCCCCAATAATTCACAGATCTGCCAGGTCCTTGGCATGTTTCCCTGACTCAAGAGAAAATTTTAGGAAATAGCTTTCAAATATTTACAGGCCAAACCAAATGGACAGCAGAGAATAACAGAAAGCACAGTAAGGCTGCATGCTGCAAAAACAAGGATAGCATAAATTCTCCTGTATATATTCCTCCTTACAAATTTGGGCGTGTGGTAAGAGATAGGGAACTTGGTCACCAACTTGGTGAACTTGGCTCTTAGGGAATAGTGAGGAGAAGAGAGGGGCTGGCTGCAAGAAGGGATTTCTTCTTTGCATGTGTGCTTGACCACCTACACTACTACCCCCAACCAGCTGAATCTGAGCCAGCTTCATGAACAGAGAAGGATCCTGAGCTCAGCAGCAGCCAGAGAGCTCTGCCTTAGGATTAGTTTATCACCTCAGTGCCAGATTTTATAGGCAAACATTCCCCAAAGAATAGCAATGTGGCGTTTAAAGACTAGATGGTAAGATGAGACGGGACAGGTAAGGCATAAAAGCAAGGGTAGTTAATTAGAATTCTGTTTTTCAGGGATTGGAAAAAGCATGTCATTATAGGCATTTTTGTGGTTGTTTAGTCATTTTCAGTCATGTCTGATTCTTCATGATCTTTTTTGGGTTTTCTTGGTAAAGATACTGGAGTGGTTTGCCATTACCTTCTCCAGCCCAGCTGATAGATGAGAAAACTGAGGCAAATAGGGTTAGGTGACTTGCCCAGGGTCACAAAACTAATGTCTCAGGCTCGATTCCAATTCAGGAAGATAAGTCATCTTGACTCCATAGTAAGTCATATTTGTATACTCCAGTGCAATCCCTGGGATTAAAAAAAGGAGGACTCCTTTTTTCTTCTTTCCCAAGTAGCATAATATCTGACTGTTAACTCCATGTTGGTTCCATATTTCTTTGTGCTTAATATATCCCTCATTATCCTGTGGCTCAGAGCTCCAGGTTTGTAAGGATCGGGTTCAGTCTTGGAACCATCTCTCAAAAGTCTCTTTGGCTCATGCCCCTGGACTATCAGAAGTTTCCTCATTGTACCCCTATTCTGAGTGACCCCTAAGGACAGCAGAATTTGCTTCATGTCTAAGTCTCCACAAAAATGGGAAAAGACCCCCAAGCTCTGATACAAATATATAGGTCATACTTTATTTAATCTGACAACAATAAAAATGTGTTTAAAAAAAGGGGGGGGGGCTTGTCCTGGAGCTCATGAACAATGAAAGCAACTACCCTTCATGGAAGGTCTCACTTCCTCTCACTAGTCCTCCAGACTTAGAGCTCTATTTGAGGGTTGAGGCTCCCCAACAATGCACCAGGTTTGAGGTGATGAAGGCTGGTACCAAGGATGACATCTGTGTGAGGAGAGAGAAGACGACTTCTATGATGTGAAGGTAGAAATGATGAAACTTGACAACAGACGATGTATGGGGTGGGATCACACTGAGGTTGTGAACCTGGGCACTGAGAGTATGAAAGTGCCCTCA